CACCGTTCCTGTGGAACTCACTTCCCTCCTCCGTTAGATGCTCACCCAGTCTCCACTCCTTCAAAAAATTATTAAAACCCCCTTTTTCATAAAAGCATATCAATTAAACTGTTGATAGCTCCCGACTGATTCCTCTCTTCCAACTGTCATTAGTCTAGTACTATCCTTTCCTTTTGTGTCACTTTACCCCACTCCCTTTAGCATGTAAGCTCATTGAGCAGGGCCATCAACCCTTTTGTTCTTGTGTGTCCAACTTGTCTGGTTACAACTACATGTTTGTTGGCGCTACATAAATATTAACATAATAATAATAATCTAATTAGAAGAACAACACAAATAAAGAGCTACAGCTGTGACAATTGCAGTGGAAATTACCATAAAGAACTGTTTTGTGTGACTAGTAAACACATTTTATCTAATGGCTGTAAAATTAATATCATGCAGAAAATGAATTATTCCAGTGTGCACCCTCTCCATTGGGATGCCCAGTGCACTCTTACAACAATTTCAACAATTGCACAACCATGTCTGGACATCTACCTTAGAGGACAATTTTAAGTGGGTCTAGTGATACCAAACAGGGCCGCCATCAGAAAATTTTGGGCCCATGACAAAGCACAAGGTCTGGGCCCCCCCCCCCCCTCCTCGCGGGCCCGCCCACGCCCTACCTAGTCCGCTCACAATGATGCAGGTCTGAATGTGGTGTGTGTATAGTGGAAGTGAATTAGAATGTGTGTAATGGATGTAGTGTTTGTGTGTATTAGATACTGTTTGTGCAATGAATGCAGAGTGTGTGTTTGTGTAGCGGATGCAGTGTGTATAGTGAACGCAGAGTGTTTTTGAGTAGTGGATGTAGTGTGTGTACAGTGATGTAGTGTGTGTTTGTGTAGTGGATGTAGTGTTTGTATGTACTAGATGAAATGTGTTTAGTGGATACAGTGTCTGTAGTGTGTGTATCAGACGCAGTGTCTGTGTATAGTGATTGCAGAGTGTTTCAATTTGTGGTGGATGTAGTGTGTGTACTGTGAATATAGGATGTTTGTGTAGTGGATGCTGTGTGTACAGTTAATGCAGAGTGTATGTTAGTGTAGTGAATGCAGAGTGTGTGTCAGTATAGTGAATCCAGAGTGTGTGCATAGTTTAGTGAATGCAGAGTGTGTGTTAGTGTGTAATGAATGCAGAGTGTATGTTGGTGTGTAGTGAATGCAGAGTGCGTCAGTGTAATGAATGTAGTGTGTGTGT